ACAAAAAAGCTCCCAACATTAGAGATAATGTTGTCAAAAGTATAATATCACCACCTACTAAAAAATCATCAAATACGTTTTTTTCCAGGGAAAGGGTTTCTATACTTGCGGTAGATGCTATAGTTGCACCAGATTGGTAAATAACCCCAGGAGAAGATTTACATTTCAGAACCCCATGAGGAAAAGAATACAGAATTCAGCAATTCATATCATGTGACACAAGAGGGGTTATCTATGCTCTGAATGCCCCATGTAACCTGATATTTATTGGTCGCACTAAAAAGGATGCTAAGAGAACGAATAAAAGAACATGTATACAATATAAACAGGGGATATAAATATCACCACTTATCACAGCACTTTAAGAAATACCATAATAAAGATGCAAGGAAATTAGAGTTCTGGGGTATAGAAAAACATGTACAACACTGGAGGGGTGACAACCTGATAAGGGAAATCAGCAAGAAGGAATCGAAGTGGATCTATGAAATGGGTTGTCTAGCTCCTAATGGGTTAAACAAAGAGTTTGACCTTGCATGTTTTATCAGTAATAAATAAGTATGTAGATGGAGATAGCATGTAATCACATTTTGAGGTCCATCTACTATTCATAGCTAAGAGTTAATTCTAATAAATTTTGATAATTTTTAATAATTATTTTAGACATTTTTTAGCTGTTTAAAAAAATGTGAGCATATTAACGCATTCATAATATGTATAGAGCTTATAAATATGGTATAAATTCTAAATAATTTAATAAATTTAATCTAATTAAGCATCCCTTCAATAATAAGGGTACAATAGGATTTGCTTAAGATGATGTGAGATATTAATCATAATATAACATTGATAATATCAGGCCAGTTAAAAAAACGATATGCATGGTGTCCATAATTGATGCTATTATATTTATATGCATCAGTATAAATCTTTTTATCTTCTAATTTATTTTAATTTTTAAATTTAATTTTATTTTTATGATTTAATATGTATTTTTAATAAAGATTGTTTAAGGATTTTAGGTAGTCTGCCGAAGGGTATACACTCAGTAATATATAAGGTATAGGCATTTGTTATTATGTATAAACTGCAATATGAGAGATGGAACACAGCTGACCCGATTAGCAACGTCTGACAGTCAGATACATTCTTGTACTCGTGTGGATCTACATGGATAAGCACTGGGTTTCAATATAGCTAAAGAATATCGCTGGGAAAATGGCCGCGCCCATGTGGGCTTCATGAAAATGGCGGCCGAGGGATATATATATAGGTGAATGGGCAAGTCGTGACATCCAATCATTTTTCCCCTGATGAAGTCACGTGACCCTGTGACGCAACGCGTAGGGGAGGGGCTCTGACGTCACGACGTTGCATCGGAGAGGCTCAGTGATTCCAGTGCAGACAGAGGCAGGCAGCAAGACAGAGGCAGAGGCAGAGTATTACTCACTCACTACAGACCGATATCACCTATGCTGTCCTGGATCACATAAGAGCCATATACTGCTGTGTAATACCGCAACTGGCAGCAATAAATTTCCTTTACACAAAAGGATAAGGCACCATGGTCTTTTTGCTTCTTTCCTTTATTTGACCCACATTCCCCATGCTGGTGAAAGGAGGACCTGAGAAGGAGGTGACCCCAGGAGGGGAATTAGGAGATTCCTAGAGAGCTGGTCAAAATACCCATCTATGAGCAGCTGCACAAGGAGAAAGAGGAAAGTACAGGAGGATCCCTATAGATCCACACCCATTTTTTGGAACATCTTACACAAGAGTATCATCCCATCAATCCTGGAAGGATTAAAAGCTTATTTGCCTGAAGTAATTTAGGCAAATACCAAGGTGAGCACATAGGGAGACCACTAAGCACCCGGCGAGAGGGAATAAGGAATTCACCTGCACATTGCACTTATTTGAAAGACTTTTTATTTATGAACTTTATTGATTGCACTTGCACATTTATATGCTTTAGCATTATATAGATGGAGTGATCACATCAGATTAGAGTGGCACAGATTTAGGATTTTACTTATATCCTAGTTTCATCCTTTTAACAGTCACATTTAATTAAGGATTTTCTGATTGATTGATATCAGTCACACTAATGAAGGTTTTTGATTTATTTATATTTAAATTTATTGATTTTTAATTGATTTACCCAGTCACAGTGATTCACAATTGATTTATCATTATTTATTATTATTTTTTTTTATCATTTTGTTTACCACACTGTGACCAGAGCAATATGTTACCATAGTAACATTATACTACTCTAGAGAAGTCAGGATTTTTTTTTTTTTTTGCACATTTTATGATTGCTTATAGCTCAACCACTTCCCATCCGGCCCATGTATATAAACGTCCGGACGGGAGCAGTGCGGGAGCGGGTGGTCGTTTATAATTGTTCTCCCCGCTCCCTGCTTGTGCGCGCTCCCTGAATGTTTGGGGGTTCTGTGTAATTTTCTAGCAAACAAATGATGATTTTTACATGTAGGAGAGAAATGCCAGAATTGTCCTGGGTGGGAAGTAATTAAGTACTAAAATCGTTTGGACTGTATCCATGGAGGAGCAGCGTTGTCAGCTTAGGATGGGCATGAGCGGGATGTTCTGTAGTCCACAGAGAGAGACTCAGAGGCAGAAAGTACATGACTGAGGGACATGCAGAATATCGAGGCTAATACTTACCACCTAACCAATAAAACAACCACCCCCTCAACCTTCTCCCACCTGAAATAACCACGCGACTCTCCTTTTGGTGTAAAAAACGGCCATAGCGGCCCATTCACTGTGTACATTTGTGTTGTGAACTGTGATTGGTCACAGTGATCACATGGTACACACAGGATCAATCAGAGCTAATCACAACCAAACTCAATTTCATTCAGTAAAATAGTTGCTTAACCACTTCCATACCGGGCACTTTTACCCCCTTCCTGCCCAGGCCAATTTTCAGGTTTCAGCGCTCTCACACTTTGAATGACAATTGTGCGGTCATGCAACATTGTACCCAAACTAAAATTTTATCATTTTCTTCACACAACTAGAGCTTTCGTTTGGTGGTATTTAATCACCGCTGGGGTTTTTATTTTTTTTTGCTAAATTAACAAAAAAAGACTAAAAATTTTGAAAAAAAAACATGTTTTTCTTTGTTTCTGTTTATAAAAGTTTGCAAATAAATATTTGTTCTTCATAAATTTAGGCCGAGATGTATTCTGCTACATTTCTTTGGTGAAAATAACCCAAATTACTATTTATTATTTAGTCTGTAGGAAACTTATAGAGTTCACAAACTATGGTATAGATCTGAATATTGATCAATCCTGAAGTACTGACAGCCAATCTCTCATTTTTTAAGGTCCAAGAATGTCAGGACAGTACAGATATCCCCCAAATGACCCCTTTTTGCAAAAGTAGACCGTCCGATGTATTTCATAAGAGGCATGGCGAGTTTTATGAAGTTGTAATTTTTTTGTCATTTTTCGGAAATTAAGAAATTAAAAAAATGATTTTCACTATTTTTTTTTTTTACATACTGTCACCAGTGCAGTACAGCGTCATCGTGTAACTGGCATGGCGGTGATCACGGACACTGACTGGTGACAGTACGAAAAAAAAAAAATTGATACCATAGTAACATTGTACTACTTTGGGGAAGTGATCAGTATTTTTTTTTTTTTTTTACACAATTTGCTTATAGCAAAGAATTACTTTGCTATTAGCAAGCATTTACCTGAATGAAATCGATTCATTCTGGGGTTTTTTTTTTTGTGATTTGGCCACGGCTAATCACATGACACAGCTGGGCTGTGATTGGCCCAGCTTGTGCATGTGATCTCTGTGACCATTCACAGCTAGACACACTTGTATACAATGGATGGCATGAAAGGAAGCCATCCATTGTATACAACTGTCATGTGACCTGCTGTGATTGGTCACAACAGGTCACATGGTACTGGCAACGGGGTCGGTACACAGATCTGTCATCGGCCGTGTCCGAGGTACACGGCCAGTGACAGATCGCGCCGCAGCGCGGCCCTGTAGGCATGTGCAATGCGCACTCTGGAAAGGACGCCTTATGGGAGGGACGAGCAACGGATTAACATAACTCTTACATAACACTTCATACAGTACAATCAAATAATAACTGACAGTAATGATCCCAACCGGGTCCAAGGTCTTCCAAGGCACTGTTACTCACATCAATAACTCGGCTGTATCTGACACCCAATGAAAAGGCCCCCAGCTACTACACCGCTTCGGGGACAATACTACAACTACGTAGTCCCAGATACAGCCAATGAACTCCCACCTTACCAACATGACCTTATAATTGGGAAGGAACACCCATACCTACGATGGGCCCAACCCATAATCCACCAAATGGTCACTCCAGCACCGCCTTCAAAGACCCAGCGACCCCTGCCGGCTGCCATGACAAAACAAAAAACGCCAAACACCTCAGAAGAACACAAAATGCCGATCAAGGAAAGAAAAATAAAATCAAGCAACCCAAACAAAACCAAACAACATGACAAACACAAAGGACAAGAGGAATAACAAAAACAAAACAACAAAACAGGTCCAGGGAGGGAGGGCGGGAGAAACCTCACCCGTGCTGGCACAAGCTCCGACTGACCCCCATCATTTTTTTTGTGACAGACAGAGCTTTGTTTTGGTGGTATTTAATCACCTCTGGGTTTTTATTTTTTCTTAAACAAACCAAAACCACTGAAAATTTTGGAAAAAAAAGTTTTTTCTTAGTTTTTGTTATAAAATTTTGTAAATAAGTGATTTTTCTCCTTCACTGATGTGCGCTAATGAGACTGCAGTGATGGGACACTGATAGGTGGCACTATAATGGGCACTGATGAGGAGGCACTGGTAGGTGGCACTGATGGGCATTGACAGGCATCACTGATGGGCACTGAAAGGCAGCACTGATAGGCACTGGCACTGACTGGCACTGATAGGCGGCACTTATAGGCAGCACTGACGGGCACTGATAGGTGGCACTGACTGGCACTGATAGGTGGCACTGATTGTCAGCACTGATTGGCATTGATAGGTGGCACTGGCTGGCAGCACTGATTGGCATTGATAGGTGGCACTGGCTGGCACTGAAAAAGGCAGCTCAGATGGGCACTGATATGTGGCATTGATGTGCACTGGTAGGCACTGATATGTGGCATTGATGTGGCACTGATGGGCAATGGCAGGTGACATGGATGAGCAGAGAGCTGGCACTGATGGACACTGACAGGTGGTACTGCTGGGGCTACACTGATCATCAAGGCACACTGATCATCAGTGCTCTGATGATCAGTGTACATGTCCCCTCCACGGAAAGCCGATTACCGGCTCTCCTCTCCTCACGAGCTGTCAGCGTGACGGCTCGTGAGGAGAGAAATGCCGGTAACCGGCATTTCCCTGTTTACATGCGATTACCTGTGATTGGACACAGCTGATCACATGACCGAGCTGACATCTTCGGCTCTTTCCGTGAATCGGTGATCCGCTGTGTCCGAGGGGACACAGTGTACCGGCGATCGCCGGTGAGAAGGGGAGGACATCATATGACGTCCTCTCAGAACGAGAGAGAAGAACCACCTCGTGGACTATATGGCGGGCGGGAGGCGGTTAAACAGTAAAAACAAAACTTTTGCAATGATTTATGTTTATCAGACCAAAAAAGAGCAAATGAGAAAAATTCACCGTTAGGGTTGAGTGCTGATTCACATACTGTATATATATATATATGAAAATCGATCAGTCTTGATGTACTTGATGGCCTATCTCATTTCTTGAGGCCCCACATGACAGTTGTATATAATGGATGGCTTCATTCATGCCATCCATTGTATACTAGTGTCTAGCTGTGAATGGTCACAGCGATCACATGCACATGTCATGTGATTAGCTGTGGCCAAATCACAGCTAAGCACAAAAAAAAAAAAAAAAAAAAAAAAAAAAAACCCTGAATGAATCGATGTCATTCAGGTAAATGCTTGCTTATAGCAAAGTAATTCTTTGCTATAAGCAAATTGTGTAAAAAAAAAAAAAAATACTGATCACTTCCCCAAAGTAGTACAATGTTACTATGGTAACATTGTACTACTTTGGTCATAGTGAAATATGAAAAATGAAATATGAAATATGAAAAAAAAAAAAAATCTTAAAAAAAAGAAAAAATATGTAATAAAAAATAATAAAATATATATATATATTTTTTTTTTTCATACTGTCACCAATCAGTGTCCCTGATCACCGCCATGCCAGTTATATGATGACGCTGTACTGCACTGGTGACAATATGTAAAAAAAAAAATAGTGAAACTAATTTTTTACATTTTTTCATTTTCCAAAAAATTATGACAAAAAAAATACAACTTCAAAAAACTCGCCATGCCTCTTATGAAGTACGTCGGACTGTCTACTTTTCAAAAAGGGGTCATTTGGGGGATATCTGTACTGTTCTGACATTCTTGGACCTCAAGAAAATTTAGATTGGCCGTCAGTACTTCAGGATTGATCAATATTCAGATCTATACCATAGTTTGTGAACTCTATAACTTTCCTACAAACTAAAAAATACATCCTAATTTGGGTTATATTTCACCAAAGACTTGTAGCAGAATACATCTCGGCCTAAATTTATGAAGAACAATTATTTATTAGCAATTTTTATAACAGAAACAAAGAAAATTGTTAATTTAGCAAAAAATAAAAACCCAGCAGTGAATAAATACCACCAAAAGAAAGCTCTAGTTGTGTGAAGAAAAAAATGATAAAATTTTAGTTTGGGTACAATGTTGTATGAGTGCGCAATTGTCATTCAAAGTGTGAGAGCGCTGAAACCTGAAAACTGGCCACGTTTTCACGGGCAGGGGGCGCGCGCGCGCGCTCCCTTTGACCCGCGGGTGACACCATTCGATCCCGGAGGGATCAATCATTAGATTTCAGCCAGTGATGTCTGGCTGAAATCAGATGATCGGTCCCTGTCCTATCCTGTCCTGTGTTGACATTTACACAGGACAGGATATGATGTCATTCTTGTGAAGACACAGAAAACGTGAGTACAAAACAATACACATTTACAGTTAGAACACACCTAGGTCACATTTAACCCCCTGATCGTCCCCCCCCCCCCCAGTTAACCCCTTCACTGCCCTGTCACCAGTGTCACTGATCAGTGAACCGATTTTTACTGATCACTGTATCAGTGTCGCTGGCGACTTCCGATAGGGTTAGCGCCCCCCCAGATAGCGCCAGATTGCCCGCTAGTACACCAGTAATCCCGTTTAAACCCCTTTAACCCCTTATCTCCCCCCCCCCAGTTAACCCTTTCACTGCCCTGTCACCAGTGTCACTGATCAGTGAACCAATTTTTACTGATCACTGTATTAGTGTCGCTGGCGACATCCGATAGTGTTAGCGCCCCTCCCAGATAGCGCCAGTTTGCCCGCCAGTACACTAGTAATCCCATCTAACCCCTTGATCGCCCCCCCATCCACCCCCCAGTTAACCCCTTCACTGCCCTGTCACCAGTGTCATTGATTACAGTGAACAGATTTTTACTGATCACTGTATTAGTGTCACTGGTGACTTCCGATAGTGTTAGCGCCCCTCCCAGATAGCGCCAGTTTGCCGCTAGTACACAAGTAATCACATTTGACCCCTTGATTGCCAGGAACACGCTTACTTGCACGCTAAACCTCCATTGCTACTATAGTGTCTGATTGGATCAATATCTTTGATCAGATCATCGCTATACCAGCGTTCACATTACTATAGTATCCCCAAAAATGCAGCGTTAGCGGGATCAGCCCCGACACCTGCCAGCACCTGCGTTTAGCCCCTACGCCCCCCCCCCTTCTCCCCCAGCAAGTGCAGTGTCAGTAGATAACTGTCACTTGATACATATTACACACAAAACCGCAGTGTTCACAGAATCAGGCCTGATCTCTGTTCTTGTCGGTAAATTTTTTGTAGCGGTTCAAGCAGTCCCTGACAGCCAGGCGCTCTTTTTCCCGTGAGTCGCACTAGGTACCTGTAAATTTAGTGGCCAAAATGTCCAAGCAAAGGTACTCTAGTGAAGAGGCCTATAGGATTCTGAGCATGTCAAGTGAGAGCGAAGGGGAAGACTCACTGGCAGAATCAGGCTCAGAATACGAACCTATAGACAGCAGCGGCACCCTGACAGATAACTCAGACGACGAGGAAGAGGTCCCTGCTAAGATCAGGTGTACCCGATCCCATTCCCAGGTTGCTGAGGTGGTACAAATGCATGATGACTCTCATATGCAGCAGCAGTGCCAGTACTAGTGCCGCACTACCTTTTGGTGAACTGGCGAGCACCAGCGGCCTAGTACATCCTGGTCGTATACATACCAGCACTGCAGTATCACTTGGTGACGTGGCGAGTCCCATAAGTGCAGTACAAGCTGGTGCGGTGGCGAGCAAGTAGTGTTCCGCGGCCACCAAGAATTCGCAGACAGGCCCGTAGAGCCCCTAGTGTCCTTCCGGATGTGCTTGCAAATCCCGATTGGCAGCCCACAAATTCTGCAGCACACTTACTTCCCCCATTCACTGCCCAACCCGGAATTCAGGTGGAAACAGCAAATTTAAATACTCCCCTTGATTTTTTTTAGCTGTTTTTTTTCACAGAAGATCTTTATGCATTGATTGTGGATCAAAGCAATTTATATGCACGACAATATATCGCCGCCAACCCAAATTCATACCTTGCCAGACCATTCGCATGGAAACCCATTACGGTTTCCGAATTTAAAGTTTTTTTGGGCCTAACCCTCAACATGGGCATTAATAATAAAAATTAATTGCGGTTGTATTGGTCCACAGACCCGCTTGTTCACATGTCCGTGTTCTCTGCTGCCATGGCCAGGCATAGATATGAGACGATAATGCGTTTTATGCACTTCTACGACAACACACTCAGTCGTCCTCGGGGTGACCCTGAATTTGACCGGCTCCACAAAATTCGGCCCCTTGTAAATCACTTTAACCAAAAATTTGCAGATGTGTATACTCCCCATAAAAACATCTGCATCGATGAGTCCCTCATTCAATATTCTGGTCGCCTTCTAATCAAACAATATCTCCCCAGCAAGCGTGCCAGATATGGGATCAAGATGTATAAGACCTGTGAGAGGGCAACAGGCTATACATGTAAGTTTCGGATTTACGAGGGAAAAGATAGTCACTTGGAGCCCCCCGGATGCCCAGACTACATGGGGAGCAGTGGCAAGATAGTTTGGGACTTGGCGTCATCCTTTTTCCATATGGGGTACCACTTATACGTGGACAATTTTTATTCAAGCGTGCCACTATTTAGACATTTGTTCAATCTGGGAATTTGCGCATGTGGCACTGTGCGATCTAATCCCCGGGGCTTCCCCCAACGGCTTGTAAATACCCTCTTAAAAAAAGGGGGAAAAAGCCTGCTTGAGAAATGAAGAATTGCTCGCAGTGAAGTGGAAGGACAAACGGGATGTTTACCTCCTGTCTTCCATTCACACAGATACGACCGTCCAAATTACCACGGCAGCTGGTGTTGTTGAGAAGCCCCTCTGTGTCCACGATTATAACCTTAACATGGGAGGGGTGGACTTCAACGACCAGATGATGAAGCCGTACTTAGTTTCCCGAAAAGCCAAACGCTGGTACATAAAAGTGTCAGTTTATTTATTTCAATTGGCTGTATATAACGCTTTTGTTCTCTATAAAGCAACTGGACATAGTGGATCATACCTAAATTTCCAGTTAGAGATCAACAGGGCCCTTTTGTATCCAGAAGGTGCTGCGGCCCAAACCCCTATCCCAGATGCAGTTAGCCGTCTGCATGAGAGACATTTTCCCGATACCATTCCTGGTACCCCAACCCAAAGAAGACCCCAAAAAAGATGTCATGTCTGCAGCAAACGTGGAATTAGGCGTGACAGCCGCTATTGTTGTCCCTCCTGTCCTGGCCAACCTGGCCTCTGCGTCAAGCCCTGCTTCCGCCTCTACCATACACTAGTTGACTATTAGTATAGGGTACAGCACGGCACAGATCAGGGCAATTTACACAGGGTCTCGAAAGATGTTAGGTAGTCAGAAAACTGGCTATCGCATTTGGAGAGACCCTACCAGCTGTTTTAAAAATGTTTGAAGTTTGAAAAAAAAAAAGTTCAAAAAAAAAATAAAAAAAAACAAATACCCCCCCCCCAAAAAATAAAAAAAAATGTAAAAAAAAAAATAGTTATAGTTTTTTTTTGTTGTTGTCATTTTTGTGATTGTTTTTTTTACTTTTTATAAAGATGTTTTATTGTTAGTTTATGTTTTTATTGTTAACCATTGTTGATTTCTTTGCAGGAATGTTTTTCATCAAAAAAAAAAGAGAATGCAGCACTGACCCCTGTTCTATTCTGACAGCAACAGGGGATGCAGGGAGGTCTTGCTTTCAGAATAGACATTATAAAGTTGTTTTAGTAGTTAACCATTGTGATTTCTTGCAGGAATGTCAAACTGCAGCACTG